AGCTGTGGAGGGCAGTGTCACTGGCCCTCATATGTGGGATCCAAACCGGGGCCCTCTGGCATCCCAAGCCAGTTCTTAACCATCACGCCACTCGGCTGGCCCAGTAGTTCAATTATTTTGCCCATAGTTTAAAAATTGAGTGCTCTGTGTTTTTATTACTGAATTTTGAGTATTCTTATGTATTCTGAATACAACTCCTTAGATGATTTGAAAATATTTTTTTCCCATTCTGTGGCATGTCTTTTTTTTTCTCCTAGTAATGTCTTTCAAAGAACGAAATTCCGAAGTCCAATTTGTCAATGTTTGTTTTTGTAGACCATGCTTTTGATGTATATAAGCAATGTTGCCTAAACCGAGGTCACAAACATATTCTATGTATTTTTCTAGGAGTTTTATACATTTAGATTTTACATTTTGGTCGATGTTTCATTTTGTCTTAATCTTTGTATGTGATATCAGGTATGGATCAAGAGGTTTTTTTGTTTGTTTGTTTGTTTGTTTTTAGCTAAGCCATTGTGCCACCTGTTGGCAGCTCATCGGCAGTTCAGCTCGGGCGGGACTTGAACCGCTGCTGCTCAGAGCTCACACTCTTGAGCAAGCTCTTAACCAACTGAGCCACTCGGCCAGCCCAAGAGGATCGAGATTTTTTTAACAATTATTCTGGCTCCATGTGTTGAAAAGACTATCCTTTCTTCATTGAATTGCATTTGCACCTTTGGGGGAAAATCAGTTGACCATATATGTTTGAGTTAACAGACTCTGTAGTCTGTTCTTTTGATCTATTTGTCTACCTTTATGCCAGTACCACAGTGTCTTGATGCCAGTACCACAGTGTCTTGATTACTGAAGTTTTATAATAATTCTTGAAATCATGTAGTTTTAGTTCTCCAACTTTGTTACTTTTCAGTTATGCCCAACATCTTTTCTCATATCTTTCTTTAATCCCCTTTTCCTTGTCTTGGGCGTCTTTCTCTGGAGTAACACACTCAAACACTCATACCCTAAAACCTGTCTTTATCCATACTGCTTTCTCCCTTTGCATTTCCATATCAAATTTACTATCTGTCTGTTAAATTCTATCAGAAAAATAAAATACCCTGCTGGTATCTTGATTGGGATTATGTTGAATGTACAGATAAATTTGGGGAGAATTAAAATCTTAACAATATTGTCTTCTGACCCCTGAATACAGCTTATCTCTCCATTGATTTAGGTCTAATTTTTCTCAGAAGTGCTTTACAGTTTTCAGTGTATAGATTTTGCATGCCTTTTGTGAGATTTATCCCTAAGTATTTCATTTTTTATACTGTTGTTTTTGTTTTGTTTTTAAAGATTTTTATTGGGGAATTGGATGGGAACAGCTCTGGGGAATTGGGGGAAGGGGAACAGACAAGTTGCTGTCCTTTTGTTCTTCAGTCTAGTTGTGGAGGACATTGCTTCACTGGCCCAAGTTGGCACCATCATTGCGCTCTTCCCAGGTGAGGCAGATCAGTCGCTGGCTTCTGGACGGCCGCTCACGCTGGCTGCTGGCTACACACGGTAGCCCATGGCAACCCACTGCAGCAGGGGCTGCAGCCTACACCGTCACCGGCGACTCAGGGCAGCCCAGCTCCAGGTCGAGCTGTGTTCAGCATCCTAGCTGTGGAGGGCAGCGTCACTGGCCCTCATATATGGGATCTGAACCGGGGACCTCTGGCATCCCAAGCCAGCTCTTAACCAATGCGCCACTTGGCTGGCCCTATACTGTTGTTTTTTTAAATTACCATTCTCAATGTTCACAACTAATACATAGAAATACCATAGATTTTTGTGTATTGATCTTGTATATGAAGCCCCGTTATTCTTCGTAGATTTTCTTTGTACATTCTTTGGGATTTTCTACATATACAATCCTGTCATATGCTAACAGAGACTGTTTTATTTCCTCCTTTCATATCTGTGTGCATTTAAACTTCATTCTTCACTTGCTGAGTAGGCTAGGCCTTCCCATATAAAGTTTAATAGCTGTGATGAGACATCCTTACTTTGTTCTTGATGTTAGGAGAAAGCATTCGGTCTTCCACCATTAAGTATGATAGTGCTGTATATATTTTATAATGCTTTTTATCAAGTTGGGGAAATTCCTTTCTTTTCCTACTTTGCCAAGATTTTTCATCAGGAATAGATATTGTGGTTTATTTTTATTCGATAATTGTATAGAAGTTGGGGGGGGGGAGAAACAACAAATTAAGCCCAGAGAATATAGAATGAAGAATATAATAAAAATTAAGAGCATAAATTAGTGAAATAGAAAATAAAAATACAATGAAGAGGCTTAAGAAAGCTAACAGATGGTTCTGTGAGAAGTTTAATTGAACAATCTTTGTAACAGTTTACTTGGGGACAGTAACTTAGAAAGCTTAGGTAAAATGAAAAATTTTCTAGGGAAAAAAAATATATGTTCAATATTAGAATCATGTACCTCTTCCCCACAAAAAAAAGAAAAATGATATCAGGGCCTAATTCGTAGGAAACTAAATGTTACCTTAGAAAAGAGGTCTTTGCAGATGTGACTAAATTAAGGATCTCAAGGTAAAGAGATTATCCTGGATTTTCTAGGTGGGCCATAATGCAATCACAAGTGTCCTTTTAAAAGGGAGACAGAGGGAGATTTGACATGAATAGAAGGCAATGGGAAGACAGAGCAGAGATTTGGCCTTAAAGATTTGGAGTTATGTGGCTATAGCCAAGAAATGATGACAGCCACCAGAAGCTGCAAGAGGCAAGAAATGGATTCTGCCCAAGAGCATTCAGAGGAAGTGTGGCCCTACTGACACCTTGATGACAGCCCAGTGACAGATTTCAGACATATGGCCTCCAGAACTGAACTGTGAGAGAATACATTTCTGTTGGGGTTTTTTTAACATCACATTTTTGTGGAAATTTGTTACAGTAGCCATAGGAAACTAACACACAAAGTGAAGGCAAGTATAAAAAGGATACTATATTATGTTGAAGTAAGGTTTGTTCCCGGAAATATATTGTGTTATTCGCCATGCCGGAAATATATTGTGTTATTCACCATGTTGACTGGTTAAAGGAGAAAAACATAAGA